ATGTGTCCCTGCAGCACAAAAGCAGTGTTGAGTCGCTGGGGGATATTTGTAGCAATAGCCAACAATACATTGTATGGGTCACAATTATACATTTCTCTTTTATGCCAAAAATCATTAGGATATTAAGTAAAGATCATGTTCCATGAAGATATTTAGTAAATGTCCTACCGTAAATATATCAAAACTTAATGTTTGATTAGTAATATGCATTGCTAAGAACTTCATTTGAACAACTTTAAAGCTGATTTTCTCAATGTTTAGATTTTTTTGCACCCTCAGATTCCAGATTTTCTAATATTGTGCTTTCCTAACACACCATACATCAATGGAAAGCGCATTATATTTCAGATTTCAGGTGATCAAACATTGACTGCTGTTGTGGTCCAGGGTCACATACAGGCTACTTCACAATCTCCCATCGCTACGTTCAAGCGGTTCAGATGATCGCCGAGCGTGACGCGTGCGGTACCTTTTCCCGGACGAGCAGCGTGATCGCAGGAATCCCGTTTGCGTTCTCGTTGCCTTTCGTGACGGCGACCTGCTTCAGGAACTCCACCTTCTTCTTACTGGCCAGAAAGATGATCCTGGTCTCGCAGAACAGCATGATGGTGTCGGTGAGCTCGTACCCGAACAGCCACGTCTGCGGACGGAGGACATGAGCACATGAGCATGCAGCATCTCTGATGCTACTCAGACTCTCAGGAGCGGGGTTGTGTTGCACCTGAAGGGCTGTAGACTTGGCGTAGACGATCTCCTCGTCGACTCCGACAGAAACCACGATGGCGTCCACCTTCCCGAACTCATCTTCTGCTTTCTGCCACAGAACAACAGCTGCACCAGTCACACGTTATGAAGACACTGGCTTTATCAAGCCTACACTTCTCTGAAGCAGCACTAAACGCTTATATTCGCAACCACACAACAATTGTTAGATTTTGCTACACATTATATCAAACATAATTGATATATATATACACAGTGGGTACGGAAAGTATTCAGACCCCCTTAAATTTTTCACTCTTTGTTATATTGCAGGCATTTGCTAAAATCATTTAGGACCATGTGATATTTCAGTTTTTCTTTTTTAATAAATCTGCAAAAATGTCAACAATTCTGTGTTTTTCTGTCAATATGGGGTGTTGTGTGTACATTAATGAGGAAAAAAATAACTTAAATGATTTTAGCAAATGGCTGCAATATAACAAAGAGTGAAAAATTTAAGGGGGTCTGAATACTTTCCGTACCCACTGTATATATATATATCAATTATGTTTGATATAATGTGTAGCAAAATCTAACAATTGTTGTGTGGTTGCGAATATAAGCGTTTAGTGCTGCTTCAGAGAAGTGTAGGCTTGATAAAGCCAGTGTCTTCATAACGTGTGACTGGTGCAGCTGTTGTTCTGTGGCAGAAAGCAGAAGATGAGTTCGGGAAGGTGGACGCCATCGTGGTTTCTGTCGGAGTCGACGAGGAGATCGTCTACGCCAAGTCTACAGCCCTTCAGGTGCAACACAACCCCGCTCCTGAGAGTCTGAGTAGCATCAGAGATGCTGCATGCTCATGTGCTCATGTCCTCCGTCCGCAGACGTGGCTGTTCGGGTACGAGCTCACCGACACCATCATGCTGTTCTGCGAGACCAGGATCATCTTTCTGGCCAGTAAGAAGAAGGTGGAGTTCCTGAAGCAGGTCGCCGTCACGAAAGGCAACGAGAACGCAAACGGGATTCCTGCGATCACGCTGCTCGTCCGGGAAAAGGTACCGCACGCGTCACGCTCGGCGATCATCTGAACCGCTTGAACGTAGCGATGGGAGATTGTGAAGTAGCCTGTATGTGACCCTGGACCACAACAGCAGTCAATGTTTGATCACCTGAAATCTGAAATATAATGCGCTTTCCATTGATGTATGGTGTGTTAGGAAAGCACAATATTAGAAAATCAGGAATCTGAGTGTGCAAAAAAATCTAAACATTGAGAAAATCAGCTTTAAAGTTGTTCAAATGAAGTTCTTAGCAATGCATATTACTAATCAAACATTAAGTTTTGATATATTTACGGTAGGACATTTACTAAATATCTTCATGGAACATGATCTTTACTTAATATCCTAATGATTTTTGGCATAAAAGAGAAATGTATAATTGTGACCCATACAATGTATTGTTGGCTATTGCTACAAATATCCCCCAGCGACTTAACACTGCTTTTGTGCTGCAGGGACACATATTTTAATAATTATTGTTAATTTGCATGGCTTGTTTTGTTTGTTTTATGGAGAGCTGGTCTAAACGGGCCATTAAGAGACTATTAACTACTACTCATCCTTATAAATACACAAGTGTGCACCGAAGTTCACCGAAATCACGTGACTTCGGCTTTTTGATACGGTGCAGTGCTTCACTACTTTAAAAGGGGTTTTTGATGTTTGTGTGACAGAACGAGAGCAACAAGGTGAACTTCGAGAAGATGATGGAAGCCGTCCGCGGAAGCAGAGACGGCAAGACGGTCGGCGTGTTCATGAAGGACAAGTTCCCGGGAGAGTACATGAAGAGCTGGAGCGACATGATCACGGCCGAGGGCCTGCAGAGGGTCTGTTTTACTGACGGTCACATGCAGAGCGTACGGAGCCGTGGCATGCCGTGAGTGAGCTGATGCCGTGTGTTTGTGGCGCTCTGGCAGGTGGACGTCAGCACGGCGGTGGCCTACACGATGGCGGTGAAGGAGGACGGAGAGCTGGCGCTCATGAAGAAGGCGGCTGCCGTCACCAGCGACGTCTTCACCAAGTTCTTCAAGGAGCGAGTGATGGAGATCGTGGACGCCGACGAGGTTCGTTCGCACACTTCTCTGCTCAGAGAAAGCACGTTCTCCAGGCTCACACGGGTTCAGAGCAGCTCACACGCGGTGAAAGCCGTGTGATATCAGTCCACGTGCACCAAAACAAACATTTTGGGCAGAAGCCGAACAAACTTAAACACTGGGCTGAAGGTCGAATACCGAGCGTGGTTTCTCTCATCTATTTTGCCCGTTTTTTCACCATTGCACAAATTAAATAGCCAACATGTGTCTATAAATCTATAACAAAACAACAATTTAAAGATGTTTACTTAACACTGAACATTTTTATCATTCTAGCAGACGCTATACCAACAAAGCACAATTTAACTTAAAATTAGTAAGTTGGTCAAATAATATTTTTTTGGCCATTTTTGAAACTTGAATCAGTTGGTGTGTTTTTTTTAAGGTCAAGGTCAAAGTTTATTTATATAGCACCTTAAAACAACACGAAGTGCTTCACAAGCAGAGCAAGATACACGCATATTAAAACAGAACGTGACAAGTAATCAATCCAATAACCTGAAAGAATAATAAAAACTACAATTTATAATAGTCAAAAAAACAGTCGTAGCCTGGTACATCACAAAAACTGCAACCCCTGGCATTAAAGAGATGCATGCAACATTTATGAAAAAAAAAACAAACAATTAAATGCAGCCTTTCTGAGCAGCAGAGCCTTCTTTTAAAACATTAGAATATATTACAGATTCCAGTTTGAACACTAAGTGTGAGTGTTACAATAAATGTATTAATAGAGCTCTAAAATGCAACAGTAAAATTACAATGCTAACAGCTATGAATGTTGATGGAGCTCTTGCTTGTTCTCAGCTCTTATTTAGGCAGAAACCCGCTCAAACCAAGCACTCGCGGAAGACCTCAGCGCTGCTTTTTGTTGACGACAGCAGATTTATAAATGATGTTTGTCGCATAAACCTGCCGTTGTTTTTGCTGCTGAATGTGTAAAATCCCTGTTATTAGTTATCGCAGTGGAGATCCAGAGCTGTGCTGTGGCTAGTGTTTTCCGGTCGTGGTCCGTCTGCTCACGTCTGTGTCTGTTCCTCAGAAAGTCAAGCACAGTCGTCTGGCCGAGTCGGTGGAGAAGGCCATCGAGGACCGGAAGTTTCTGGGCGGCGTGGACCCGTCGACGGTGGAGATGTGCTACCCTCCCATCATTCAGAGCGGCGGCAGCTACAGCCTGAAGTTCAGCGTGGTCAGGTGAGAGCCGCACGAGCTCATTCGTCTGACGGAGACGCTCCGGCGCTAAACCTCTGCATCTGTCTCCTCAGCGATAAGAACCACATGCACTTCGGCGCAATTACCTGCGCCATGGGCATCCGCTACAAGTCCTACTGCTCCAACCTGGTGCGCACGCTCATGGTGGACCCGCCGCAGGAAATGCAGGACAACTACAACTTCCTGCTGCAGGTGGAGGAGGAGCTTCTGAAGGAGATGAAGCACGGTGAGCCGGCGGAGCGAGAGTGTGTGTGTTAGTGTGTGAGTGTGTGTGTTAGTGGACGACCGATATGGGTTTTTTGACAGCCGATGCCGATATCTTGGAAAGCAGGGTGGCTGATATAAAGCCGATATAATAGTATTTATTTTAATTAATATTTGAAATCATTTGAAATGGATTAAAAATAATTGTGTAAAATAAACATACTTATACTTTAGAAGACAAAGCATTTTCACAAATAAATATCTAATAAAAATATAATTAAAAAGGAAGCAAGCACTATAACCAACAGGGCACACAGTATTCTGGGAAGTTTGTGTGCATTGGGAATCATATATATTTTTTCAAATAAAGCCAAGGTAACACTCATTTTACACACAGCACACAGTGAAAATGACATGAATATGGCAGTGGGCAAATGCATAAAGCGCAGCATAATTTGAAATCACTTGTAGAGGTCGACCGATTTTTTTTTTTCTCCATTCATCTCATAAAAGTGAGTTTGAGCAAATGATTATTGCAGGCTACAAGATAGTAATAGTAGTAGTAGCCTAATTCAGAGTAATAATACATTGCTCAAAACTTAAGCACCTTCTCAAAACAGTTCTGAAGCATGCTTTTTGTTCATGTTTGCTGACAGACACCAGTGTTTCCCACAGACTGCAGATTAATTCTCTGCCAGCAGGAGGCGCTTTGGGAACGGGAGATATAGCGGTTTCCCCGGTAACGGCTGTAATCAAATAAGCGCTGTGCTCACAGTCACAAACGCTACATTATCAAGCATTACAGGAAAGACGAAATGAAAATGACATCGAAGCTTTTCTGAAGAAACGCTGTATCTCTGTTCCGTAAGCGCTGCTGTGTTTACAGCGGTAACCAAGGAATATGAATTAAAATAAATCAAATTATATCGGCCATCCTGCTTTCCAAGATATCGGCATCGGCTGTCAAAAAACCCATATTGGTCGACCACTAGTCATATGACCCCTTTAAGCTTGTGTGTATGTATGAGTATCTATGTGAGTGTGTATGTTTGTGTATTTGTGTACTGTTTGTCTGTTTTAATGTGTTGGTGTGTGTGTGTGTGTGTGTGTGTGTGTGTTTGAGTGTGTGTGTGTTTGAGTGTGTGTGTGTGTGTGTGTTTGGGTATCTATGTGAGTGTGTATGTTTGTATACTGTTTGTCTGTTTTAATGTGTTTGTATTTGAGTATGTGTGTGTGTGCGTTTGAGTGTGTGTGTTGTGGAATGGTTTAATAATTAGTGTGTGTGTGTGTGTTGTGGAATGGTTTAATAATTAGTGTGTGTGTGTATGTGTGTGGATGTGGATGTGCGCGTTTGAGTGTGTGTGTGTTGTGGAATGGTTTAATAATTAGTGTGTGTGTGTTGTACAGGAGTAAAGCTGTGTGACGTCTATAACACCGTCCTGGAGTTCGTCAAGAAAGAGAAACCAGATCTGGTCAGCAAACTGACGAAAAACCTCGGGTTTGTGTCTGAAACGCTTCGCACTCAGATCATCGATATGAAGTGCGTAAAATGAGCCGCGTGTGACATACGTGTGTGTGTGTGTGTGTGTGTGTTGCAGGTTCGCTATGGGCATTGAGTTCAGAGAAGGATCGCTCGTACTGAACGCCAAAAATCAGTTCAAGCTCAAGAGAGGTGAGTGTGTGCCTGTTGTACAGCATTTATCATCATTGCATCAAGATACTAGCAACACTGTGTTTAAACTGTTTACCTTAAAATGAAGATTCATGATACTGTTTTAAAAGTGTATTGTGTGTAAAGTCTGCGTTGTACACGTTGTTGTGTGCATCTACAGTGTTGGGGAAAAATGTAATTGCAAATATTATCATCATTGCTTTTAATGTGTGTGTGTATATAATATAAACTCACTCTGAAACATGCAACACTTCCGTCTAATTCAGTTGCAGCTCTTTTAATAATTGCACTGCTGCGTTTGTGCAGGGATGGTGTTCAGCATCAGTCTGGGATTGGCTGACATGATCAACCAAGAGGCCAAGAAAGACGAGCAGAAAAAATATGCCTTGTTCATCGGAGACAGCATTCAGATCAATGAGGTGCGTAATGCTCCGCGCTTCACGGGCTGGAAACTCTCTCTCTGTGAAGCGCTCTTCAGTAATCCTCTGCTCCTGTTTGTGATCGCAGGAGGATCAAGCCACCGTCCTCACGCCCGTCAAGAAGAAGATCAAAAACGTTGGCATTTTCCTCAAGGTAACGACCGTCTGTCTCGAGCGTGCTCTTTTCAGTTTGACTGAACTCACTGGTCCAGCTCTCACGCACTGTACATGTACAATACACACACAAAACCTGCTGAGTGTGATTATTAGCCATTTTGGGATATTGCATTAAAAACGCTGGATTAAAATGCAAAGATGTGTGTAATGTGCTTAAATTAATGTGCATAAAACATGTGCTCAATTAAAGCAGGTACTTTTTTCCTCAATGTTTATTTGTTGATTATAGTTAAGTATTTAAAAAATTATATATAGAATTATATGGGCGTTTAAAAATAAAATAAGTGGTACTTGAAATTTAAAAAGAAAATAATATAAAAAATGAAAATATATAAAATATGTAGACCAGGGATGGTCAACTTTGATAGTGACGAGGGCCAGCATTTGTTCTCCTTTATACCAAGCGTCCAGATTACTAATCCACGTCCACACAGCTTTTACACTGTCTTACTCGGTTTCCTTTTATTGAAGGAAATTAATGTATAACTAATGTCATTTGTTTTTAAAGATTTTATTAAGTATAAAACTTGTGCAGTTATGCTAATTCAGAAGGAAATGTAAACATCTCAATTGCATTGTCTGTAAATTTGCCTACAAACAAATATACAGAGGTCCTTTTTTTTATCTGTAGCCTGCAGAACATTCTCAAAACAACCTAAAAGGATAGTTTAAAAAGGGCTTAATAAAAAAAAAAAAAACATAAAATAGCCTGGAATCTGCAGGATTTGTAAAATCAAATTTAAGACCTTTAAAGACCTTTTTAAGATCTGCACTTCACATTTCAGCCTTTAAACAATTTTTAAGAAAAGGGATGAGTCAAAAGTATCAATTATAATATATTAATTTAAACAATTATTATCAATTAGTTATTATATTAAATAACATGTAAATATATCTTGGTGTCTTAATTGTTTAGATTTTTATAATGCATGTGCTTTTTGTCGATCCACTGGTTCACATTTAAAAATATGTAGCAAAAAAAGCAGAAGGGCTTATTGAGAAAGCAGATTCGTTCTCTGCCAGCAGGAGGCGCTCTCGGGACGGCAGAAATACAGTGGTTTCCCCTGTAACCGCAGTACACACAGCTGACTGCAGCGCTCACGTTTATTCAGTGAAATCACAGCCTTTTGAAGTTTAATCGTCATATTAATCCATATAGCAATTCTTGTCTTTCCGTCCCCAAAGACCTCTTATAATTTAGACTGTTTGTATGTGTTTGAGTGTGTGTGTGTGTGTGTGTTTGAGTATCTATGTGAGTGTGTATGTTTGTATACTGTTTGTCTGTTTTAATGTGTTTGTATTTGAGTATGTGTGTGTGTGCGTTTGAGTGTGTGTGTTGTGGAATGGTTTAATAATTAGTGTGTGTGTGTTGTACAGGAGTAAAGCTGTGTGACGTCTATAACACCGTCCTGGAGTTCGTCAAGAAAGAGAAACCAGATCTGGTCAGCAAACTGACGAAAAACCTCGGGTTTGTGTCTGAAACGCTTCGCACTCAGATCATCGATATGAAGTGCGTAAAATGAGCCGCGTGTGACATACGTGTGTGTGTGTGTGTGTGTGTGTTGCAGGTTCGCTATGGGCATTGAGTTCAGAGAAGGATCGCTCGTACTGAACGCCAAAAATCAGTTCAAGCTCAAGAGAGGTGAGTGTGTGCCTGTTGTACAGCATTTATCATCATTGCATCAAGATACTAGCAACACTGTGTTTAAACTGTTTACCTTAAAATGAAGATTCATGATACTGTTTTAAAAGTGTATTGTGTGTAAAGTCTGCGTTGTACACGTTGTTGTGTGCATCTACAGTGTTGGGGAAAAATGTAATTGCAAATATTATCATCATTGCTTTTAATGTGTGTGTGTATATAATATAAACTCACTCTGAAACATGCAACACTTCCGTCTAATTCAGTTGCAGCTGTGTGTGTTGCAGGTTCGCTATGGGCATTGAGTTCAGAGAAGGATCGCTCGTACTGAACGCCAAAAATCAGTTCAAGCTCAAGAGAGGTGAGTGTGTGCCTGCTGTACAGCATTTATCATCATTGCATCAAGATACTAGCAACACTGTGTTTAAACTGTTTACCTTAAAATGAAGATTCATGATACTGTTTGAAAAGTGTATTGTGTGTAAAGTCTGCGTTGTACACGTTGTTGTGTGCATCTACAGTGTTGGGGAAAAATGTAATTGCAAATATTATCATCATTGCTTTTAATGTGTGTGTGTATATAATATAAACTCACTCTGAAACATGCAACACTTCCGTCTAATTCAGTTGCAGCTCTTTTAATAATTGCACTGCTGCGTTTGTGCAGGGATGGTGTTCAGCATCAGTCTGGGATTGGCTGACATGATCAACCAAGAGGCCAAGAAAGACGAGCAGAAAAAATATGCCCTGTTCATCGGAGACAGCATTCAGATCAATGAGGTGCGTAATGCTCCGCGCTTCACGGGCTGGAAACTCTCTCTCTGTGAAGCGCTCTTCAGTAATCCTCTGCTCCTGTTTGTGATCGCAGGAGGATCAAGCCACCGTCCTCACGCCCGTCAAGAAGAAGATCAAAAACGTTGGCATTTTCCTCAAGGTAACGACCGTCTGTCTCGAGCGTGCTCTTTTCAGTTTGACTGAACTCACTGGTCCAGCTCTCACGCACTGTACATGTACAATACACACACAAAACCTGCTGAGTGTGATTATTAGCCATTTTGGGATATTGCATTAAAAACGCTGGATTAAAATGCAAAGATGTGTGTAATGTGCTTAAATTAATGTGCATAAAACATGTGCTCAATTAAAGCAGGTACTTTTTTCCTCAATGTTTATTTGTTGATTATAGTTAAGTATTTAAAAAATTATATATAGAATTATATGGGCGTTTAAAAATAAAATAAGTGGTACTTGAAATTTAAAAAGAAAATAATATAAAAAATGAAAATATATAAAATATGTAGACCAGGGATGGTCAACTTTGATAGTGACGAGGGCCAGCATTTGTTCTCCTTTATACCAAGCGTCCAGATTACTAATCCACGTCCACACAGCTTTTACACTGTCTTACTCGGTTTCCTTTTATTGAAGGAAATTAATGTATAACTAATGTCATTTGTTTTTAAAGATTTTATTAAGTATAAAACTTGTGCAGTTATGCTAATTCAGAAGGAAATGTAAACATCTCAATTGCATTGTCTGTAAATTTGCCTACAAACAAATATACAGAGGTCCTTTTTTTTATCTGTAGCCTGCAGAACATTCTCAAAACAACCTAAAAGGATAGTTTAAAAAGGGCTTAAAAAAAAAAAAAAAAACATAAAATAGCCTGGAATCTGCAGGATTTGTAAAATCAAATTTAAGACCTTTAAAGACCTTTTTAAGATCTGCACTTCACATTTCAGCCTTTAAACAATTTTTAAGAAAAGGGATGAGTCAAAAGTATCAATTATAATATATTAATTTAAACAATTATTATCAATTAGTTATTATATTAAATAACATGTAAATATATCTTGGTGTCTTAATTGTTTAGATTTTTATAATGCATGTGCTTTTTGTCGATCCACTGGTTCACATTTAAAAATATGTAGCAAAAAAAGCAGAAGGGCTTATTGAGAAAGCAGATTCGTTCTCTGCCAGCAGGAGGCGCTCTCGGGACGGCAGAAATACAGTGGTTTCCCCTGTAACCGCAGTACACACAGCTGACTGCAGCGCTCACGTTTATTCAGTGAAATCACAGCCTTTTGAAGTTTAATCGTCATATTAATCCATATAGCAATTCTTGTCTTTCCGTCCCCAAAGACCTCTTATAATTTAGACTGTTTGTACCATTTAAGAGTTTGCATGGCCTTACATGTAAACAATTTAACTGAAGACGTTTGAAACCCTAATAAGAACATAGCTCAGTGCAAACATTTCTGTCATGCATTTGGCAAAAAGCTTTTGTTGACTATGAATTTTACCTTTGAAATTTGAGGCAAGTGCAACTCTAAAAATAACTGAAATAAACTTCAATAATAGATATATAAACTGATAAAAAAATTGAATGAGGAATATATAAAAATCATGTAGACCAATTTAAATTAATATTTATTTAAAATGAAGTAGATCTTAACTGAAATAAAATATGAAAACATAATCTGTTTCAGCTAGACACTAAAGTAAACATTAAGTTTACATCAAGTATAAAAAAACCTAATAAATAACTAAATATGAAAATTATATTAAAACAGTTTCTAAAATGGAAAAAAATACATAAAAATAAAACAAAAATAAGAATTCAAAATGTATAAGGAAAAATAGAGTAGTGCATTTTAATGGTTTGTGGTCATTGGCATTATTTTAGGATTATTATGCAGAAAAAATATTCACAGGCTTCCTCAGGTGCCAACATTTGTATTATTATTATTATTATTTTGCACCAGTTTCCCACAAAGTGATTTTGTTCTCTTGTACACATGCAACATAAACAGTGGAATATCGCATTAAATATTAGCAAACAAAGCAATTTCTCACAACGTTTGGACACAAATATATCTATAGAGTTTATAAATGTATGTGGAAGTTGCCTGGAAACCGTGTTACTGTCTGTTTCTAGAACGCCGATGAAGAGGACGAGGAGGAAGAGGACGATAACGCCGAGGAGCTGCTGGGGAAAGGAGCTCGCAGCGCCGCCCTGCTGGCAGACAGAACCAGGGTATGTGCCTCCTTCCTGTTCACTGACCCTCAAAACTCACCCGTCTCAGCCGCCTGTTCTCATTCTCTCTTCTGATTGGTCAGAATGAGATGACTGCTGAGGAGAAGAGGCGGACCCATCAGAGAGAGCTGGCCAATCAGGTGAACGAGGAGGCCAAGCGGCGTCTGACGGAGCAGAAGGGAGGACAGCAGATACAGAAGTACGAGGATGAACGCTTTCACACCACTTCAGTTCGTTTGTGACCCTGGAGCACAAAACCAGTCATACGGGTCAATTTTTTAAAATTGAGATGTATGCATCAGCTGAAAGCTGAATAAATAGGTTTGCATTGATGTATGGTTTGTTAGGATCTGACAATATGTGGCTGAGATACAACTATTTGAAAATCTGGAATCTGAGGGTGCAAAAAAACCTAAATATTGAGAAAATCATCTTTAAAGTTGTTCAAATGAAGTTCTTAGCAATGCACATTACTAATCAAACATTAAGTTTTGATATATTTACGGTAAGACATTTACAAAATATCTTCATGGAACATGATCTTTACTTAATATCCTAATGATTTTTGGCATAAAAGAAAAATCTATAATTGTGACCCATACATATACGTCACGGTAGTTTGACACAAACGCTCTTCTCTTCTCACGTTTCTGCCTCAGAGCCAGAAAGTCGAACGTGTCGTATAAGACCGTCTCCCAGATGCCCCGCGAGAAGGACATCAGAGACATGAAGATCTTCATCGATAAGAAGTACGAGACGGTCGTCATGCCCGTGTTCGGCATCGCCACGCCGTTCCACATCGCCACCATCAAGGTAAAGGCATCTGCCGCGGAGCGATATCTGAGGCGCTTCGGCTTCGTCTGAGTCTCTGTCGTGTGTTTGCAGAACATCAGCATGTCTGTGGAAGGAGATTACACGTATCTGAGGATAAACTTCTTCGTGCCGGGCAGCTCGCTCGGACGCCACGACGGGAACATCTTCCCCAACCCCGAGGCCACGTTTGTCAAAGAGATGTAAGCCTCTCCAAACCTATTACTGGGCTTTTTTGATTAGTGTAACACTACGAAATCAGTCCTGTGGTTGGTCACTGTGTCAGCCAACACCTAAAGACTGTCTAAAGCGTATCGGAGCATATTTTTAGTGTACGTTTTTGGGATATTGCATTGTTGCATTGAATGCTGGAGAAAAACGACAAGATATGCATTAAAAGATGAGCTTAAAATAAAAAAATATGTATTAAAATTAAAAAAGAGACTCTTTTTCAAATCAATATTTATTTGGTTATCATAGTTCTTAAACTAAACACATTTTTTTTTTTACAAGGAGGAGCTGGAGTTTGACGTTCCTTTCAGAGATCTCGGGTGAGTCGGATAAAATCAGGTCGTGTCGTAAGTCTGGCCGCATTGCCACTTAACCGCACTGAACATACTCGAATGCTCCCATATGATTTCAATTAAAAACAGTGGGTCTCGTTCACTAACCGCACAGGAATTTGTCAAATCCGAGTACGAATGTTTTACAAATCACAATTCATTTGATCAGAACTTTTCTGCTCAAATTTATTCTAAATTTACAAAAAATGTGGAAACAACTGAAACCCAGACATAAGAATCACACTGTGCTCTGCCTTGTAAAGAGGAACACAAAAGTGTTGCGAAAACACAATTTCTTGGCAACGCAGAAGTTTTGCGAGCGAACGCACAGTTTCATGCGGAAATGCAGGAGTTTTGAGAATGCACACAATGTTAGTGGACAGAAACCAAAGTTCACGCAAGATAACGCAAAGTTTCTTGGATGAAACACAAAGCTTTCCAGAAAACACAAAGGTTTTGCTGGTGAAAGTTTACCGTAGGAACGCAAAACCTCTGTAAGTGAATATAATGTTTCTTGTGAGAACACAAAACATGATATTTTTGACACCTAATGGTACTTTAAACGGGTCAAAATTACATTTCAAAGGTGACATATCATGAAAATCTGACTTTTCCAGGTGTTAAGTGCTATAATCAGGTCTCCGGTGCATCTACCAACCAAGCAAACGTGAAAAAGATTAACCCAGTAACTTTGTTTTGGGAAGCCTTTTTCTGCAAGCGTCTGAGAAAACCAGCGCGTCTGATTTCGCTCCCTTGGTGACGTGGCAAAGGGATCTCATTATAATATTACCGCCCCTTAATCTGTAAGTTTACACCCACGGCGCCGTCACAACGGTGTAGCAGCTCTAATGCCATGGAGAAAGTTTGAGCTCAAGTCCCAGCTTCAGAGGAGACAACAGAGCAGTGGATTTATTGATTTATTTACTGTATATTGCTGCTGCCACACAGATCTCAAATAAACAAGCTATTCATTTCCCAGCTGTTTACCTTCACAGACATAACCCACTGTTTTTGTAACTCGTGTGTGTTTTTAACGTAAACTTGTGTATGAATGAGAGCTTAGTTTAGTACTCGCATGCTGCGACAGCCGCTTTCTGTGCGTGTGCTTCAGATGTGTGCGCTCAGAAAACCTTTTATCAGAAGTTTAAACTCATATGGTTTAAAACGCATGATTTCAGTGTGATAAACATGATAATCAGAACCAAAACAGATGTTTTTAGCAGATAGGAGCTATTCTGGAAAAGGGGGCGGGGACTCCGGGGAGCAGCCGCTCATTTGCATTTAAAGAGACGGGCCCGAAAAACAGCGTGTTTCTGCTTCCACTCAAAATAGGCATTTTCAGAATGATATACTAAATGATCTGTGGAGTATTTTGAGCTGAAACTTCACAGATTCATTCTGGGGACACCAGAGACTTATATTACATATTGTAAAAAGGGGCATAATACGTCTCCTTTAAAAAAATAATTGTGTATTTTTAATCATTATTATTATTATTTATTTATTTATTTATTTTTGTTACGTTTTATTCCCATTTTTTATCATTTATTTGCCGGAGTGGGAGAAATGCATACAATTTCGCAATGTTTCTCAGGGAAACCTGTCTTGCAAATCAGTGCAGGGTTTATTGAGAACACAAGTTTTGCAAGTGAACCCAGTGTTTCTTGGGAAAATGCAAAATGTTTGAGAGAAATTTTGCAAGTTAACGCAAAGTGTATTACGGAAACACAAACGTTTTGCGAGCAGTCATAATTTTTCTTGGGGTAATGCAAAACTTTTGAGAACAACTTTCGCTAAATTACTCTGGGAGTCGGGTTTGATGAACAAATGCAGAGTTTATTGGAAATGCGGAAGTTTTGCAAGCAAACAAAGTTTCTTGGGGGAGAATGCATATGTTTTGCAAGTGAATGCGAAGTTTATCGGGGGGAATTATGAACGGTTATAAAGCAATGATTGTGCAAAAAAGTCCTAATATGGATATTCTGTTATATTTTATGCTAATTATTAACCTCAGGTACGCAGTCGCTTCTTTGATTTACTTTAAATACATTAATATTGGGGCAAGATTAGGAACAAAGTCATGTTGTTGTGAGTTAGCCAGAATGTTTTCACGAGAAGTACTGAAAATTAATTATCTATGTAATTATTAGCAAGTGAGACCCAGTGGCTTTTCCCCAAAGCGCTCTGTAAGTAGTAGTTTAATCATCACCTGATGTTGTTTTTGCGTTTCAGGTTCCAAGGCGCCCCCTACAGGAGCACCTGCCTGCTGCAGCCCACGTCTAGCTCCCTCTGTAACGTCACGGAATGGGTGAGTGTCTCGCCAAACGAAAACCATACCGTGCCACAAACGCCCGTCCTAATTAGGGTTTGAATTTTATCAAGTCGTATTCAGATTCTTATCGATTCCCAGTTCCGATTCCAGTGTGGTTGAAAAAATGAAGCCAAACATATTCATTCTGTCTCTCTTTCTGGAAAACATGTAATTGCTGCTGACCAGATGTCGCATAGGTCATACAAGACTGACTCGTGCATTTTTGCTTAAAGGTGAAGACCCTACTCAGTGTATGTTTTGCAAGGTTCCCCTTTCTGATAAACATAGTTTATAAAACAGGTATTTCCGGTCCTTGATTCTGATTGGCTGAGCCGAAGCTGTTGTAAATTACTCTACAAAGTAACGTACACCTTGGTTTACTTCTGTGTGTTGCTCGGCGACCACTTTGTTGGAACCAACTACATTGTTTGGTGGAAGAATACTGTTTTTATTAATATCATTACACTTTATTCGCTCTGTTTTATTTTGTGAAACCTTACTACGTATATGGAATAACCGTTTTATAAAAGCAGTAACCCCCGTGAAGCTGTGGTTTACAGTGAATTTATAACAGCTAAGGGGTTTTAGGCACTCCGCTTCGTGGGGCTTATTGCTTTATTATTGGACTTTCCAGCTTTTAATGTACAGAGAAAACTCGTTTATGAAGTGAACTCACTTAAAGAGTTATTTAGTAAAACTTTGCTGGGAAAAGTTTTTGAATTTTTATCACGTTAATGTAAAAAAATCTTGTGTGATTATAACTTGTTTGTTTGTTTGCTGGTTTTTATTGTATTTGTTATACTTGTATTTTTTAAATTGTTTTTGCCATGAAAATAGCCTTTGATGCTGACATGGCTATATATATATATATATATATATATTAATTGCTGCTGAATACCATGAAAAAATCAGCCGGCTACATAAAAACTGGACTCGATTAGGAGCTGTTTGTGTGCAAAATAGAGCGGCACGATTTTGGATTAATCTGGGGTTTTTTAATCTTTTTTTTTTATTATTTTTATAATTGGAGGTTGTAGTTCTCTCAATTCTGAAGAAAAAAAAATTAGACCACTAAACAATCTCATGGAATCATTCAATGACTCACTCAATATCTACTTGTTTCATTATTGGTTGAATCAGTGGTTTTGAATGAATCACTTGAATGAATGATTCAAAGACAAAATTGGCCTACATTTTTAACAGCCCCTTTTCACCACAAAAAAAAAATGTGCACACTGGAATTGATAGGCGGTATTTAAATGTACATTTTACAACACATCTGATTCCTGACCTTAAGTATCCAATTCTGGAATTGGAATTGATTTTCGATTCCCAACCATAGTCCTAATGACCCATCTCTCCCTCTCAAAGCCCCCGTTCGTGGTGACGCTCGACGAGGTGGAGTTGGTTCATTTCGAGCGAGTCCAGTTTCACCTGAAGAACTTCGATGTGGTCATCGTTTATAAAGACTACAACAAGAAAGTCACGATGATCAACGCCGTGCCCGTCAACTCTCTGGACCCCATCAAAGAGTGGCTCAAGTAAGCTGACGTGCCGGCCGCACCGCTCTCGTCTGAGACGCTTGCAGTGTGAGTGAACGTGTTGTGTGTCTGTGTGCAGCTCGTGCGATATCAAGTACACGGAGGGCGTACAGTCTCTGAACTGGACCAAGATCATGAAGACCATTGTGGACGATCCCGAGGGCTTTTTCGAGCAGGGCGGCTGGTCCTTCCTCGATCCGGAGAGTGAGGTAAGACGTCTTGCTGTGATCAGCCTGACCTGGGTGTCTTGTGGTGGTTTAGGGTGTGCTCATACTTGTAGTTCGGTTAATTTGGTCCGGACCAAAAAGGAAAATTATTAATTTGGTCCTGGTCCGCTTAGCATTCACATTGGCATTTTTGACAGCGAACCTAAAGGCATAGTTATATGTTCACAACCTGATTGGTCGGCTTGAATGATGTATATATCGTGACTGAACTCACCGAACACCCCAAACAAAAGGTGCGTTATGCCTGTTTCACACATACTCCATCTGCAGTGCGTGTGCGTTGCGGGGGTTTTTACGCACCCATGTTAACGGATTAGAGCTTTCACACTGCACGCGGTTGCGGTCCGTCAGTGCGCTACAGGTGCGGCGCGTCTGCAGCAGTGCAGCGATCGTTTACGCACCGAGTCTATTTTTGCTGTGCTGCACGCGCTGAATTAAAGTGACAGCGCTTTGTTCACGGTTAAAATGAACATGGATTGAGACTGAAATGTAGTAATTTCACAATAAATAGATATAATTAAAGTCTACTGTGTTTCACGGGCTTTTTGTTTAAAACAAATAAAAGTGCACTTTTAGAGATACAAGGCAACATATGCACGTGTGTCTTGTGGAGGTAGAAAAACAAAGTTCTTTAAGACCCGCTGGACTGTTTGTAATAAAGATTTAAATGTAAAAGGCACGAGAGCCGACTGTTTCTGTCAGTGGTAAGTTTTAATTTAAAATATTTGTGATAACCTAACACAAGAAAGCTATATGCTGTATTCAAATGTGTTTCCACTTGCTTGAGCAACTTAATATACACATCTAAAAGCCAAATGCATTTAATACGCTGTTTATATTAATTGAGTTTAAACGTGAATACATCTATGAAAGATTGTGTTAACTGTACTGTGTTAAAAGAAGATCACAGTGCTGAAAAAGCACTTTCAGTATAGGCTAACTACGTTTGGATTTGAAATCAAAATAATGGATAAATGATGTGTTTGTGGTATACAGCCGCGGATCAGGAGCGAACTGCAAATGCGTCCTGTGTGAAAGCACAACGAGTCCGTGCTGCTTCTGCACCGCATACGTAACGCACTCGGACCGCACACGCACTGCAGACGGAGTATGTGTGAAACAGGCGTTAGACTTAAAGTGGCGCTGCGGGTGTATGATATCAAACAGGGATGCACCGAATGTTCAGGAACCGAAATTATTCGGCCGAAAATAGAAAAAAAAAGCTCTTTCGGTGTTCGGCTGAACAAGCGAAAAGACTGAATAAACTCGAAAAACCGTATTCGGTATTCAGCCTTCGCCCCAGTGTTTCATTTTGTTCGGCTTCGGCTAAGAATTTTCATTTCGGTGCATCCCTAATATGAAAGCACCCATTAACTGATCGGTCTGCTCAGCGCCGCTCTAAGTCGAACACAACTAATGCCGTCTGCTGGACTAAGCGCGCTCATTCTTGCGTGTACATACTGTATAATTTTATTTTCACCACCTGCAAACTCACAAGGAACTCGTAAAAGAATTTGCATCATTTGCCCTCTGCTCATTTTGTTTTGGTTACACCGCGTCGTCAAATCATGTCGCATAGCGTCGCATCTTGTCATTACTTCCCGTTTTTGGTTCGTTTAGAAGTATTTGGTCCGTGTTGCGTTCATATATCATTCGGACCGCACCAGAGTTCGTCTGGACCAAGACCCATCTTTTTAGCGGTCTCGATCCGCTTGTTTGGTTTGCACCAGGGTTCGGATGGCAGCGTTCACACTTACTCAAACGAACCGCTCTAACAGAGCAATCACACCAGAGTTCGTTTTAATCGAACCAGACATGACAAGTGTGAACGCACCATTACCGTTAAGTTTAAGATGTTTACAATAAGTCATTTGTTTTATTTCAAGGAACACTTTTTTATTGTATTTGTTTTTGTTACCTACAATAACCTTGGTTGAGGTTTTGTCTGTAATTTACTATTTATTAATCTGGAATTATTATTTAAATATTTTAAACTTGTGTGAAAATTACTACTACAACAACTACTAATAATAATCTTAACGATGATGACACTAGTAGTAATAATAATGAACTGTATCTAGCGTATTTAAAGATTATTGATTATTATCAATTTGTGTTATTTGATTTTTAGATAAATATATTTAGTTAATTCGAAGTAGAAATTAAATTTCATTTAAACTAACAAACATGATGTTGTGGTTGTTGTTTGGTTTTAGTTAGCTATAATAACCCTGGAGACCTAGCATCTGAAAGCTTAATGCTCGTTTAATCTGCAGTTATTAAATATTCACCTGAGCACCGAATTATTTGGACGCTAACGTCGTAGTGTTTCTGTGTCTCAGGGAAGCGGTGCGGAGGACGATTCCGGGTCCGAGATGGCGGACGAGACGTTTAACCCCTCAGCTGATGATGAAGAGGTGGAGGAAGAGGAGGACAGCGATGAAGATTACTCATCGGAGACAGAGGACTCGAGTAACGTTGCTGCTCCGATACATTACTCGTATAGATCCTGATTATGTTTGAATTTTTAAATAAAATTAAGTTATTAAGCTTTAAAGTTTTTTTTTTTTGTAGATGAATTAGTTGTATTTAGATTCAGTTATCGTTATTGGATTTTTATCCACTTTGTGTATTTTGTGACATGATAATTGTTGGTTTGCTTCCTTTGTTGAACATCAGCCACTTTGATTGAGTTTTAGTTTAGCTGTGTGTGTGTGTGTGTGTG